TCAGAATATTGAGATTGAGGGGAATTTTAATGAGGATATTAAAGCTTTAGTGGTTGGAGAAGGTGGTACGTATGGTTATTCTCATTTCTATATCTGCAGAAGTATTCAGTATTTCATGGAGTCCATTAATTGCCATTTTATTAATGTTTGCCCTGTTGTTAATTCTGCTGCTACGACGCTTGCTTTGTTTGGCGGTAGATTTCATGATATTACTGAGTTATCTTTTAATAACCTCTCTGTTCAGATTAAAGGTTTGATTAATTTGGATAGGAGTGGTGTGCCTTATATTATTGAGCGATAGGCTCTTGTTTTGTTTGGCTGCTGTCTTTTCTGGGTGTTGCGTATCCAGTTTTGGTTTATTTCTTCGGTCTCCTGGTATTTCTGGTGGATTATGGGCGGTGTATCTTGGTTGCTTACTGCCTGTTTGCCTATTTCTTGTTGCTGGGGTCTCCCCGGCTGGCTTTTAGTTTATCAGGTGGTGGTTTCAGCTGCTGTGATTCTGTCGTTTGTAGTCTGTTGTGGTTCGGTAATCTGCTGTTTGTAGCTGTTCTTCTCTTGGAATTTGGTTCCCCGGGGAGTTGGCTTTCCCTTCCTACTTTTATTTTGTTTTTTTTGTTTTTCCTTCTTGCTTATTCCCTTTCCTAGTATCTTTGCAGGCCTCTTTTGCAGGTTTTTGGAGCTCCGCGCTCGTTTTGTGCAGGATACTCGTTCGTGTTGGCATGTCCTTCAGGTTTTTGGATCTCCGCGCTCGTTTTGGGAAGGTTTGCATGCTGTTCGGAGGGCTTTGCTGAATGTGTATTCTTTTTCCCTTTGCTTTTTATTTCTTAGAATGTTACTAGATATTATTATAATTTTGATTAGTAGGGAACTCCGGCTCTTAGACTTCTTTTTTATTGTGTTTGTAGCTCCTTGGAGCAATAGCGAGCTAGAGGTCCCTTTAAGGACTGTGTAATTTTTCCTTTAATTAACGCGTAAGCCCGTAGGTGGGTTTTAACTAAAAAAAAAAAGTCTAATTTCGATAAATTAATGTGTAAGCTTCTCTGTGAGTTAAAAAAAAAAATGCATAGATCTAACACAAGCGCCCCTTCTTTAATGGGCATTTAAGTTTTATTGTAATCAGCCTAGAGGATTTGTCTCCATTGATCCCTGGCCATCTACCTGAAATTGTTAAAAAGTACATTAAATTTTAAATAATTAACTTGTAAGGTTTTAATTTTTCTTGAAATATATATATATATAAAATCTAAATTGTTGTATTTATCGGATAAAATATGTTACTGTAGATAAAAAAAATAACAAGTTTACTTTGCTTACATTTAATGTATTGGTACTGCTAAAAAGCAGGGAAACAGACGAGAGTTGGGCCTATATCTTGCTATCTCTCTCTCTCTATAGCCTCACTTATTGTTCCTGAGGCGTATCCGCCCTCTTCTTTATTTATCAATTCTCGTTTCTTCTTCCATTCTCATCGGTTCTTCAGCCTCTCCCACTTCTCTCTCTCCTCTCTATTGTGCGCCTTTCGTCATTCGTCAACCATCAAATTTCAATCACAAAACAACAGATCCGAGGATAGAAGGATTCAGAGAGTTCAATCAAAGCATCAAATCACAAATCAAATCAAATCATCACATCAAATCAGTCCAACAAGAAGGCAAGAAAGAAGTAGCTAACTCAGAAGCAATAAGAACCATGTCTTCCTCCTCAGCTGCCTTTTCCCTTGACCAAATCTCCCCTCCGCCCTCTGAGAAGCTATGCTACGTGCACTGCAACTTTTGCGACACAGTCCTCGCTGTATACATATTCTTCTTCTTCTCCGCTTGCTCTCACCTCAAACCCTTTTCTTCTTCATCTTCTTTCTTTTCTTTTCTTCTTCATTATCTTCTTCTTTTTCTTCTTCACATTTTTTTCCCTTCTTTTCTGCAGGTTAGCGTTCCTTACACGAGCTTGTTCAAGACTGTAACGGTGAGGTGCGGTCATTGCACCAACCTTCTCTCTGTTAACATGAGAGGGCTTCTTCCCCCGTCCACCAACCAGCTCCATCTCGGTCATCCCTTCCAATCTCCGAATCAGCACAATCTTTTGGTAAATGTTTATTAAATATTGTTACTTTAAATGTACGCTCCACCTCATCTTGGCTTCAAAATGGATGAATTAGCAAATTTTTTGATGACTTATTTGATAAGGAGGAAGTACTAAGTAACCCACCACCAAACCTGATGATGGATAATCAGGTCTGCCTAAGCAACAACTTCACATCTCCATTGACAAAAGTAACAGAAGAAGAACTTCCGCATAACCCAATTATCAATAGGCGTAAGCTTTCTAATTTTCTTTTCTGTACTTATCTTCTTCTATTATTCAAGTTCTGCGTTTTTCTTACAAAAAAGGAAATTTGAACTGTGATCTGTGTCTTTTCGGTCAAATCCTTTTTCCTTCTTCTACTCTCACATATTACTTAAAAAGTATGGAGCAAGAAACAAGCCTACAAAGGAGCCGTAATGGAAGATGGGAAGCATGCAAGCTTCATACCCCCAAAGGCCTTTGAGAAAACCATTAGTTCATGCCCTCTGGTTTGGTCTACTAAAGTGAACCAGTTGTGTAAAACTTGAAGCTAGACATCCCATCCCTAACTCCGGTGCTTTCAATCTCTCTGCTTTTTCTATTTTCTTCTCCTTCTTCTCCTTCCCCGGCAATCCTACTTTAATTTGCTGTAGCAAAACAGTAGCCCTCACTGTCTTTCTTCCTCAGTGTCTATCCGTGTAACGCACCTCATGTCACTTTCCTCAGAAGTCAGAAGACCATGTCATTACACTATAACTGTCTTTACTACGAAAGCAAGCAATCTCTTCAGCTTATGAGAGAGAGAGAGAGAGAGAGAGAGGACCGAGTTTTAAATATATCTGTCTTCTGGGTGCAGCTCCAGAGAAGAGGCAGAGAGTTCCCTCGGCATACAACCGCTTCATCAAGTGAGTTCTCTCAACCCAAACTGCTAAAAAGAATGAAATAACCAGAGGAGATCTATATATTCAGTGGCTCCTCTCTCAGTTTCTCTTTTATTCAGATCAGCTAAACGTCAAGAATGATTTTCAACTAAATCTTCAAAAAGGAAATAAATAAATGGTGTTTGCAGGGACGAAATTCAACGAATCAAAGCTGGCAACCCCGACACCACCCACAGAGAAGCATTCAGCGCTGCTGCTAAGAACGTAAGCAGGATTTTTAATTTTAAAAGATTAAAAAACTATCTTATAGTTCAGAGAACTGTATTTTGAACTATTTTTTATTTTTCCTGGTTCAAAACATTGGACTTTGCTGAAGTTGTTCTCTGCAGTGGGCCCATTTCCCCCACATCCACTTCGGTCTCATTCCTGATCAAACCCTGAAGAAGACCAGCGTGCACCCTCCGGTAAAGATGGAGAACTGATCTTTCTTGTTTTTTTTCCAAAGACATTACTACTTTACAAACTTAGCTTCTCAAAGCAGTTACTTTAGCCTTTCAGTCTCTTTCCTGATTCCCTTTATAGAGCTTTGATATGATGCTTAGTTAGCCTATACTTACGTCTTCTTTCTCTTATTCTTTTAGGAGGGAGAAGACGTTCTTCTCAAGGACGGATTCTTTGCAGCTGCGGCTGCTAACATGGAAGTTGCTCCGTTCTAGGCGCCGAGAACTGAATGGTTGAGAGTTGGTGGCTTCTAATTACAAGGGTTTAGTTCATTTCCACGTGCCCGCTGCTTGTTGTTATAGATTATTAGGGTTTGTTCTCTCTACTACATATTATAGAGAAGTTCGAGACAATGGTTTTACAGTTGCTAGGGTTATTTTCTTGCCGTGATTTTCTTTTTCTCATCCTTAGCTGTTCCTGTTAGTTTCCTTGTTTAGTAAAGGGAAAGCTTATGAGCCGAGCGTCTCTGAAAAAATAGGCATGCTGCAGCTGTTATTGAAACTGTTTAGCTAATCTTGGAATGCTTTGTAATGGAACAATTGATTTCTTATAACGTTTGCTTTTGTTTTAATTTGAAGAAGCTGATGGTTGCTTCGAGTAGATCTGCTAGAGAATGCAGATAAATTGAACTTAGCTTTGTCCAAGTGCGTTAGCATAAAATTGAAAATTTTCTTTCCATAAAATTGAAATATGAAGCAAAGAGGGGAAAGAAACATCCATTGAAAGAGTGATCAAAGCAAGTTCAAAATAGATGAATATTTTAACAAAGTTTTGAGAAGGTTAAATTTTATCATAAAGTAAATATTGAGTGTAATCTTATTACAATAAATAATACTTTTTGGAGAGTATCTTGCAGGGAAAATTTATCTTTTCAATTAGGGAGCTTCAATGATCGCAAGGTACTTTTGGTTTGTATTTTTCAATGCCATTTCAATTTTCATCAATTTTGCAAGAAGAATGTGCTGAACAGGATTAATTTGCTCTTCCTTTTTTGGGTGCTGTCTACTCACAGCCCGAGACTTTATAATTTATGTCTTTTATGTAATCTTAGGAAAAGGAACCACCGGCTCTTAGGTTTTATTTTTTTTTCTCTTGTAGCTCTTATGAGCAGTAGCGAGATGGAGGATCCTTCTAAGGATTTTGTAACCGAATTTTGGATATTAACGCGTAGGCCCCACAGTGAGTTTTAACCAAAAAAAAAATAAATAAATAAATAATACTTTTTATAGTTTTGATAAAATGTTTGCGTTTTGTAAAATTACTTGGGCTCTTGTTGCAATTTTGCATCAAGTTTGAGAACTTATAGCAATTGTTTCCATCATGGGGGAGAAGACAACTCTAAATTGGAGTCAATTCATTTATTATTATTTTTTTGTTGAAACCCACTGAGGGGCTTATGCATTAATATAAAAGCAGATCACAAGGTCCTTAAAAAGAACCTCCAACTCATTAATGTTCATCAGAGCTACAAAATAAAACCTAAGAGCTGGTGGTTCCTTATAATAGTAGTTACAAAAAAATCCTAAAAATATTCTAAGGCTGCAAGGAGACAGCACCCAAAAAAGAAAGAAAAAGATCACCATTCAACATGAACTTTATGCAAAAAATATGGGTCGAGCCATAACTAGCAAAATCGTTGTGGGCAGCGAAAGACCCATTAACATCAAAATTCAAGCCACCATACCTACAGAAGAAAAGCCTACAATATAGGAGAGTAAATTTGCAATTAAAGTGAAACAAGTAAAAACAGGGTATAAGGCCATCACTACAGGAAAATTTTTTATTTCTGGCGAATTTTTTGGTGGAATATTCTGTAGTTTTTTGCGGATTGTGAAAGTTTCCAGCGGATTTCCGGCAAAATTTTTTTCAACAATAAATCGGGCGTTGGAAAATTTTTACGTCGAAAGAAATCCGTCGAAATTTTTTTACCGGCAGAATTATCCCGTAGGAAAAAACTACGTCGGAATAAATAAAATGTTTTTTTTTTTTTAAATTTCCTTCCAGCCAACCCCTGCTCTCCAGCACCTTGCCGACAATCCCGCGCCCCGCCGCGATCCGCGAGTCTAACCATGCCATAGCCCTGAGCACGCTCGAACTCGTGCCCCTCGCATGAACATGCGCACCCGCCCCGTAGTTTGCTCCTGCACCCGTCCGCTGGCGAACCGGACCTGACCCTGCGCTCCGGCACAAACACGCGCCCGACCCCCGCTCCCATCCCACGGACAAACAATGCCCGTGCCCGTCCCACGGGCAAAACTCACCCTGCGCCTCACGCGCGAACATGCACCCGTCTGCGATGGGATTCAAACTAAGGATCTCTTATTCATTTTCAGAGCATCAACCACTCTACTGTGGTATACAATAAGTTTTTTCTAACTATTTTATATTTAAATAAACTAAGATAATAAATTTAAATAGGAAATAGGAGTATTAATTAATAGAATTACAAATAGATAATATTTTTCATAAATTATTAAAATCCGAAAGATTTGATGCCGAAAAATTCGCCGGAAACACCGTCGTAAACAAATTTGTCAAAAATCCACCGAAAAATCTTCATAAAAATCTATCAAAAATATTTCCTCTTTATCCGTCGGAAGGCCACCGGAAAATAGTATGTCGAAAATTCACCGAAAGTATTGCCGAAAATAAATGATTTTCCTGTAGTGCATCTACTGAATTTACAGAGCATGATCAAAAAAGCAAACCAAAATACCAAGCAACTTCCAGTAGCCTTAGAGCCAAAGATAGCATGGACTTCCAAAATAATGAACAACTTTCTCCCATAAAATACCTAGATGATGAGGGTAGTTAATAGCAAAACACGCAAAACCGAGAAAATAGCTAAGTAGGAGGCACCACAGCCTCACATGCTTGGTAATTGACTGAAGATCAAAACTCCTACCAACATCACCTTTAAACTTCCAGTTATGTACAAAAAACCACAACCACCTAACATCATAACAAGCTAAAAAATGGAGCAACATCAAACTTGCTAACCAGGTACCCCAGGTTCACAGACCCAACAATATTAAACCACATCCACAGAGCAAAATAAATAGGATGCAAAAGAACTATGAAAATCCACCAACAATAATTAAAAAAGGTCATGTTCAAACAACTCCAGCAATACCAGCATTGAATCACCAATTTCCACAGGATCCACCAACAGAAAGAAGAGGTAAAGTAGTAGATAAAGAGAAAACCAGAGGGAGGCAAACTAGGCAAAAGAACAAAAAGATCAATCATTCCGGATATAAGGCAACCCAATGTTATCCAAATTAATCATACCTTTCAACATAGGATGTAAATTCTAATATCAAACTCCAAATAACTTTCAAGATGACAACCCTTATTAGCTAACCAATCCACACACTCATTAGCTTCATGATAAATGTGTGAAATAGATTAATTAATAGAAGAAAGGGATTTCTTAATTTTTCTAATGAGATAAAAGTTTGGAGGATTTCCAGGAACCACATTGGTAATAATCTGGACTAAAAGCATCGTATCCACCTCAATCCACACAAACTCAATACCCAACTTAATATAGATTTCCAGGCCATAATACAAGCCCATAAGCTCAACCGTAATAACATTGGACAACTGTAAAGGACCAGCATAAGCCGCAATAATACACCCCAAATGATCACAGATAATACCACTAGCACCAGCCTAATTGAGCCCAATAGAACCATCAAAGTTGAGCTTGATATAAGGGGGTCTGAGTTTAATCCATTTAACTACCTTTTCAATCGAATTCACAGTCCCATAAACCATGGGAATGACAAAAGCAACAGCCAAATCCACACAAATATGAAAGTTCTTAACAGATAAAAGGTTGTAGGAATAAAATTGAAAAATTTTATTTCTCACATTAGAAATAATTTGAATTGCATTCATTTTGATATCATTATGCTTGGCCTCATTTCTAGCTTTCCAAATATACCAAAAAATAAGAATATGAAACAGATTAAAAAAATGACCTTTACAAGCATGCATCCAATTCTCTAAAATAGATAACACATCATTATGAATATTAACAATTTTTTTTGGCAAGAACACTGAAATAACTCCACAATTTATGAGCTATATTACCATTCACAAATAGGTGATTAACATTCTCCACATTAGAACAACACAAACATTTGGAAGATAGGTTAAAACCTTTTTTCTGAAGCAAAACATCAACCGGAAGATAGCCTTTAAGACACCTCTAAACAAGGATTGAGTAAAAAATTGTAATATTTTTATGCAAATAGCATAATAAATCAGAGATTTCTCAAATTTAATTCTAATGATGTCCCAAACATTTTTCAACTTGAATTTACCAGATGAAGAGAGGGTGAATAAAATTTTATCCTTGTATTGACCTTGTAAAGGAATATTAAAAATAATGTCAACTAAAACCAAAGGAACTACCTCCCTAAGTTTAGTGACATTCCAACTATCATTAGTAACAGAATTAAAAATCTTAACATTATCAATCGAGTGCGTATTTAAAAAACTATCTATAGAGAAAGGACCAATCTAATTGTCTTGCCAGAAAAAAATGTCACCTTTACCCATAAAGTAAGTCCCTTCCGAGATTGGTAACAAAATTAAAGATGCTAGTTTTGATACTAATTTTGAGGATCAGATTTTATTTAATCTATCTTTCAATGGTTCTTTTATTTTTAAAAATGTTTGGCATTTTATCAGGGAAAAAGGTGATGTTTCGGTTGTTTATGATAGGATCTGGAGCAATAATATTCCTACTTCTTATTCGGTTCTTGTTTGGAGAATTCTTAGAAAATACATTCATGTTGATAGTATTCTTTGGAGAAAGGGTTTTAATCTTCCTTCTAAATGCCATTGTTGTTTTCATATTGAAAGTCTCAATCATGTTTTCATCAATGGGGCTATTGCTGCTAAGGTTTGGAATTGGTATGATAATTTTTTCAATACCAATTACTTTTCTGGGCATCTTACTTTTAATCATTTTCTTACTGCTATCTTACACAATTGCAATAGAGGTCACATTAAAATTGTGATGGCTGTTACTATCATTTGGTTTATTTGGTTGGATAGAAATGATGCTAAGTATAGAAATATTGCTATGAATCATAAAAGGATTATTGCTAGAACTAAAGAAAAAATTAATAGTTTGTACAAAGCTAATCTTTTTAAAAATAGTCATTTCCGTGGTTTCAAATTGGTTATTAAAAAGCTGGGTATTATTCGTGAGGAGAATAAGGAGGAGGTTGTTCCTAAGTTCGTGAAATGGATTAAGCCTAAAGATAAGGTTATTAAAATCAATACTGATGGTTCTATGGCTTCTAATAAATGGGGTTGTGGTGGCATTTTAAGAAATGCTGAAGGTAATATGATTTGTGGTTTTGCTGGTCCTCTTTCTTGCTGTAATGTCCCTTATGCTGAGCTTATGGCTTTGTTTCAGGCACTTAAAATTACTCTGTCGATGGGAATTTTAAGGGTTTGGATTGAAGTAGATGCTTTATTAGTTTTACATTTTCTTAATCCTGAAAATAATGGTAATGTTGAGAATTTTTATACTCTTAGGGAGATTAAAGGTATGCTTTCTCATATGGATTATGTGATTTCCCATATTGGGAGAGAAGGAAATGCTTGTGCTGATTTCTTAGCTCGGTTGGGGGATGGTTTAGCTGCTTTAACCTACTTTGATAATTCTAATATTCCTGTTTTACTCAGAGGTCTGATCAGATTGGATAAAGATGGTTTACCTTATTTAAGGAAATAAGTTTCTTGCTGTTAGTGGTTGTCTGTAATTGATTATGGAATTCCCTTT